TCTAATTGAAAAAAAATTGTCCAGAGGTCACTGAATTAATTTTTTTAATAATAATTTTTTATAATATTCACTTTCGAACAAGTGATTTGCCCACTTAGATACGTAAATTCATTAGGCGCAGCGTTATTTCGACATTTTTTTTTTAGCTAAACTATTTATTCAGTGACCTCTGGACAATTTTTTTTTAATCAGAACACTTTCAACTAAAAATTCTCAAAATATAGCCAAATTTAACCGTAAGCCATTTTCTGTGTATTTAGTGCGGGGTCCTTTAATTCGTGTAAAACCCATTAAAAGAGTAAAAATTTTAATTAATTTAAATTCTATTTTTGCATAATCATCAACTAATTTATTAACAATAACACAGGAAATTAAAAGGCATTAAAATAAGCTGCAACGCTTATTATTTTAATCCAATTTTACTTATTTTAATACCAAAATGGATTAAAATAATCAAAATTGGATTAAAATAATAAGCGTTGCAGCTTTAATAATGCCTTTTAATTTTCTGTGAAATCTAAAAATTCGTTAATAAAAAAGTACTAATTAAAAGTAAAAATTCCACTAATGTATAGAGAAGCCTTTAACACAATTTTTTAAATTTATTTTTTTTTTCAAATTACAGAATATATTCCCATCCCTCGATCCCTGCATAGTTATCGATCTTCATGAGGTAAATCTCGACTCGTGCGCATTGTGCGCTCGCGGGGTTTTTTTGACTCTTTTGAGTGCTCTAACGCCTGACTTGAGGTACTTACAACATAAGTCGCTCAAGCGCATATACACATATAACCACCGAGTCTCTCTCCTCTCTCTCTCTCTCTTTCTTTCTTCCTTGAATCGGGAATAATTTCCCTGTCGCGGTCCCACTCTCTGTCTCGTTCTCGCGATTTCTATCCGCTCGCGGTTACACGACCTCTGGTGGGTGTATGTTTAACCTTTCCGATGTGCAGGACAAGAAAAGATATAGTCGAAGGGAGTCAGACGAGCGATCACCCACGCAAACGAATGTAAATTACCGGAGGCTGTGAATCATTTTGAGAAGAAGCAGACGGCCCCGGGGCCTTATACCCTCTTTCTCTTTGAATCTTATCCTCACTTACATAAGCAAAACACTCCTTGAGAAAGTCTTGGCGGATCCCATGGATGGTCGCGCCGTGGGACGCGCTTCAGGCCCAAACTCCCACCTTATATGTGCGCAATGGGCCCACCAATAATGCTTATTAAGTACTTTAGATTCAGCAAAGTGGTAAAAGAAATCTTGATTCTTTTTTTTCAAAAATCCCTCGACTTTTCCTATTTTTAATTTCAAAAATTTTCTCTTTAATTCACTAATTTTAGAAATAAATTTTAATTACTAAGCGTTTATATGAATTTAATGTTCGAAAAGTTGATCGACATTGGTATATAGCAAAACTTTTAATTAGGCATGAAAACATAATTAGATATATATAACTCAGGAAAACGAAACTCCCTTTAGTTTACGAGAACAAAGGACTGCGACTCGATGAGTGTACTAATTAAACTGATATGAATTTGTCTTCTTTACGAAATTATAATCAAAATTAGAAATTTAAACCTATTAATAATTTACCAATTTTCTATTTTGATTCGAAGGTATTAAACAAATAGCATTTTTCAAAAATAAAAACCAATTTGCCATATAGCGATGAGACGAAAAAAAAAAGGATTTACTGCCTCGAAAACAAAAGAATTATATTCAAGAATAAAGCAAAAAAGGCACGAGTAACGGTATACTTATAGGACCTGTCGACGTTTATGCCCCTCAAATACTTGATGGACATTTTTTTTTTTTCTCCTGGTGGTACCTTACTCCCGCATGCTTTCTCGTTCGAGCCGTGCACGTCCTCGTTAATTCACGATGCAACGAAGATGAAATTGGCAGAAAAGGACTCGAAGAGAAAAACGACGATACCCTATTCGAAAGGAGTTTTACCACGAAGGGTGGTAGAGGGAATTGCAAGCGGAAAGAGAATGGACTGAGAGAGAGAGAGAAAAAAAAAGAGAAAGAGAGATAGTGGGAGTTAGGGGAAGAGAAGAACCACGGCCCTAGCCTTGAGCACAACACGACCCGTTTCAAAGACACGTAGTAGGGCCAAGCAAAAAAGGGCGCCCCCTCAAGTGAAAGACAGAGAGGAAGTTGAAAAGAAGATATAGGACCAGTGTGTGAGAGAGAGAGAGAGAGAGAATGAGAGATAATGCAAAGGGAAAGGGCTTGCCCTAAAATATGTGAACCCTAAGGCAATGGTTGGACTCCTCGTTACATCGTGGCTGATGCCTTAAGGCGAATACGCGTCTGTATATCGTATGATACAAAAACATCACATTATTTTCTCTCAGCGCGAACGAAGCGAGCCAGAGAGAACCAGAGAACGAAGATGCTTCAGGGCATGTGACCACCATTATACCTCTCTCACACAGCCCACCACCATTCCACCACCTCATCCACTACTCCCCCAAAGCACATGACTCTCACACCGTCACCCTATCTTTCTCTCTCTCTCTGTCTACCTTTTCGTCTGCATTACACGGATTACGGATTATGCATTCGTCCAAAATATTCAAATTGACCTACTCTATACAATAAGAAAGACACAAAAATTCTACAATTTTAATCATTTTTTTTAAACCTTTTGAACTATTAAGTTACGTTTCCTGCACTCTCGGTCTGTCAGACCGTTTTAGTTCCCTCACTAAAATTGCAGCAATATTGCCAACATTGTCCATTATTTCTGCAATTTTGCTACAATATTAGAATGGAGTCAATGTTTCCAATATTGCTGTAAAATTTTTGTTTTTTACTATTTTTTGTGTACTATTCTTTATAACGTTATAAGAAATTCAGCGGTCCTAATCCTGATTCAATCGGGATCCAACTTAATAACATTATAATTTACTCCCCTCACTGTACAATAATACTCGAATTAATGCGATTAGTGAACAGTCTGCGAAGACTATAAAGATGAGGAATACGAATTTAAATTTATAATTCAGTAAAAAGGGGTTGGTTTGGATACAAGGAGCATTACCTCCCTTTGTGGTTGAAAGAAATAATATTCTAATTAATCTCTTTTAAACATCTACAGATTGTCATGGTTCCTATAAATCTTATTACCATTTTATAAAAATTTTACTACTCTAAAAACAAGTTCTATAAATAAAATTTCATTTTTTTAAACTAAAAAATAATAAAATAAAACACAAAATAGGAAACCAAAAGAAAATAAATTTTTGTACTCCAACCTAATGGTGGGATTCACATTTATGAGATAACGCATATATATATAGAGAGAGAGAGAGCGCGCATCTCGGCATGCACCTTTGTTGTATATAGTAAAGTGAAGCTGCAGTACTGGCCATCGGCCATTTGAGAATAATGGGGCAGTTGCGAGTGAGAGAGACTTGCGCGAACGAGTGCCATGCCGATATAAAGGGAACCGGGTTTGACCCGTTCTGTCGTATTGGAGGAGCCCTTAGGCTAAAACGGCCACGGCCAACAACATCGTTCTCAAAAGATGCCCAAGAGCACTTCGAAACCCGAAACGATGCCGCCTCGCGCATATACATATATATATATATATATCTATACATACATACATACATATAAAAGCCAACTTTAACCAGGGACAAGGTGACGTCTGACCTTAACATTTTTTTACATTCCTATATGATGATGACCCCCCAAAAGGAATTTTCGATTTTTAGAAAGTTTAATAACCACATTCTTTTTTATTCGTTTTCTAATTCTCATAAAATAAAGATATTTTCTATCAAATTTTAGACAAATAACTAGAGATTCGTTATCTACTTTACCAACAGTTGATAAAGTAGAAATCTACCTTGCCGACTGATGGTAAAGTAAATGCCATTGCTAAGTGCCAATTCTACTAATTGTAAGGTAAAAGAAATTGTATATTGTGGAAAAAATGTTAGTAATAAAAAAAGAATCACCGAAAAAAAAACAAAATCTAAAATAACAAAATAATAATCTACCTTATCGACTGATGGTAATGTAAATGTCATCGACAAATGCCAATTTCTATTCTATAAATTGTAAGCTAAAAGTAACAGAATTATAGGGAAATAAACGTTCATAATAAAAAGAAACCACCGAAAAAAGGGACAAATTCTACAATAGCAATAAAAATAATAATCTACCTTACCGACTGATGGTAAAGTAAATGTCATCGCTAAGAGCCAATTCTACTAAATGGAAGGTAAAAGAAATTATATATTGTGGAAAAAAATGTTAGTAATAAAAAAAGAACCACCAAAAAAAACAAAAACTAAAATAATAAAATAATAATCTACCTTATCGACTGATGGTAATGTAAATGTCATCGCCAAATGCCAATTTCTATTATATAAATTGTAAGGTAAAAGTAACAGAATATTAAGGAAATAAACGTTCATAATAAAAAAAAACCCACCGAAAAAAGGGACAAATTCTACAATAGCAATAAAATAGTAATCTACTTTGCCGACTGATGATAATGTAAATGCCATCGTTAAGTGCCAATTCTACAAATTGTAAGATAAAAGAAACAGTACATTGTGGAAAAAACGTTCGTACTAAAAAAAACCAACAGAGACAAATTCTAAAATATCGATAAAATAATAATCTACCTTACCGACTGATGGTAAAGTAAATGTCATCTCTAAGTGCCAATTCTACTAACTGTAAGATAAAAGAAACAGTATATTATGGGTAAGAAACCTTCGTAATAAAAAAAACCACCGAAAAAAGAGACAAATTCTATAAAGTAGCAATAAAATAATAATTCACCTCTATTTCTTGCTTAATTCGAGGGAAAAAAAATTGGAAGAAGAACCAGTGCAATTGGAAATGCATTGGTGTAGGTGAACTGCATGAGTAGGTGGTGATGGATGCTGGACAGAGGTGAAAGAGATGGAGTAAGCAGCGGTAGGGGTAAACAGGCAGAAGCGAGAGAAAACTACATTACTCTGTTCAACTCAGTTCAAGCTAGGCTGCAGCAGTGCGCGTATCGTGAAAGCTGAGTCTTCACGTGCAACCAATACCACGTGGTATTGTGTGTTATCTATTTTGAATGATTGTCCTACGAATACAATAAAAAGTGATTTGTTTTTTTTTTTTGCCAAGTGAACGAAACAAATAAAAAAAATATAAAAATAATCTGATTTTCATTGATTTTGATAAACGAAACAAAAAAGAATAGAGAAATATTATAAAACAATCTTTTACACTGTGGATATCAGAGAAACCGTCAACCTGGAGCCCACGTGCCAGAAACGGTGAGATAACATAAATTGAAAAAAACAATATTTACTTGAAAAAATAACTAAAAAGACCTCGATTATTAAATTACGGCAAATGAAGAAATACTAATAAAGTTAAATACCAAAAACAACATTTATTTATGTATTCAGTTTTTATATACTATAGGACCTGACCAAAATATCGTATCCTTTTTGTAATCTACAGAAAAATTAAATCCTCGCAATATATAAAAATGATTCCTTTGAATTTTTTTCTTAACTTTAAACTCACATTAAACATAAATTATCAGTGAATTTTTCTCTCAAAAATCATTATCTGAAAATCTTTTAACTTTATAATAAACTTAATTAAACAGATATTAAAATTATAATCTGATAACAATTTTGCCTTTTAAAAAATTTATGATCGGTATTATTAAATTTTATATTATATTTATCGTATTTGGTAAACAAGATCTTCGGGAAAAAAAAAAATTTTTGGACCCACCTCGTTTCATTAAAAAGCTATAAGACGACAACCGACTCAAGTATACGGGGTAAAAGAGAGAAAGAGAGAGATATGAAGACTTGTTCATAAGTTACACATAAGAAGTCACTTAAGCTTTATACTATCAAGACAAGTATATCCCGCTGTAATTAGCAAACACACGGAGAATTTATGAAAGGCTGCTATTTAATTGCTCCGACCATATTATGTGGTTCTCACTTCGTTAGGCACAGATTTATACGACACGTTATCCCTTTTGAACGATTTATTTTTCAGCAACTATTCAAATGTTTATTTTTACTGGTTTAATTTTTTTTTCCAAAAACACTATTTACATTAATATTTAATCACACTATTTTTATGAGAAAAATTGTAAAGAAAAAATCTACAATTTTTGCTAGAAAATCAAAATTGAATCCTTAAATTCAATTCCTTTTTTCAATTTAAAAAATTACAAATTTTAGAGTAAAATTTAATTAAAATTTAAATAACCTACATTTCTTTCACTCTTTGGCAATTTTTATTTAATAAAAATTTTCCCTCCATTCATTAATTAATATATAACTTTGTCCATAATATATAATTAAAAAATAAAATTTAAATATAAAAATTATTTGTAAATTTGTGTTTTTGAATTTATAAAAAGCATTGCCCAAATGAAAAGTTCAGTGGTAAAATGGACAGAGGGCTTCCTGAATGATGTATATATGTATAGAGAGAGAGAGAGAGAAGAGGAGAATGAGGGGGGCAAAGGAACTCGGTAAAGCCCGAAGGATATGCTGCAGGCTCAAATGCGTTCTGCAGTTGCCGTAATTAGAACCCAACGCCCCAAGCACACACAAGCCCTCTGGCTGACGAGTATCTCGCGAACCAAAATTATTCATGAAGCGAACAGAGGAAGCACAATTTACCCGCAAATATTTTATCTCGTTCGTCTCAATTGACCACACATTGTGTTTTTGTTCACAAAAAAAAAAAAACTTCAATATTTTGAGAACCATTTGCCAACCAATAATAAATCCATTGCGTTTATAAAAAAAAAAAATACTTATTTTTAAACAAAAGAAATTTTATCAACAAAAATAATGAAAAAGGGGTAAATTTTAAAAATATTTTAAAAATTTTACCCTAAAGAGAAAGAGAAGGTTAAAACCGTCCAAAAGTCTTGGAAACAAAAAGGCCTGAGGTTAAAATCGCCAGGCAAAAAAGCAGAACTTATTTTACTTAACTCATATTTTACAACTTACTAATCTGCTTCTGGCTCTAACGACTTCATTTATGATTCTTTTTTTTTCTAACATTAAAATTTTCTACTTTAGAGCATTTGTTTTCGACTGAATTTCAACTAAGAAATAAATGTCTTTTACAGTTGGGAAAATAATAATTTCTGATTTATCCTCTCAAAAACAAGAATATAAATGTTTGAAACAAAATTTTCGTTTTGTATTGAAAAAAAGAGTTTTTAATTAACCGTTAAAAACTAGCTCTTTAATTGCATTCTAAAAAAGAGAAAAACTATTAAATAAACATGCTACATTGATTATTATTTTTACCGAAATAAAAGAATTTTCACTTAACTATGTCATAAAAAATTATTGAAAAGATCTAAACAAATATGAAATAATTATTTAAATGTTTCCTACCTACTTCTCAATATGTATATAATTAGTGAAAGCATAATTGAAACATTATACATTTTCTCGAGAACATATAATTCTAGTTTGTGGCTCATAAAAGTTAAAGAAATTAAAATGAAAGATAATCTCCATACCGACCTATAAACTAACATTTATTAATAGATAAAAGAAAATAAGAAACAAGTTGCATCATTTTTGAATCTTGATCATCTGAGAAGAAAATAAATCCCCTACAAATCAGAAAGGGTAAAAAAAATCCGATCCTTCAGATACAAAAAAAACTCAATTGAAATGTGTGATTTATGACACAAAATACTAATGTCTTAGTTATCAAATTGCGCTAATATCGAACTTAACTCGAACTGGATCGATAAGTACCTCTCTATATAGTGCACTAATGTGCAAAGAGTTCAGAACTGTAATTGTAAACCTAACTCTTGAGAAACAAGTTTTCTTCCACTCTTTAATCGCGTCTAAATTGCCTCAATTATTACTCACAAATGGATTGATTCAAAAGGAGAAAAAGTAAAGGTTATTTTATAGATCTATAAATTTATATTGTAGAAAATTAAACCTAATACAATTCAATATAAGAGAAATAAATAAATATGAAAATGTTTAACACAAAATTATATATTTAAAATTTTCTAATGCAAAACAAAAAATCAAGAATATTGAGAGATAAAAATAAAACAAGCAATGAGAATCTGCGCTCATTAATTTAAATTATTTTATATATGAAACTCAGCATGCAGTAGTAACAACTTGAGTAAGTCGACTATCATTTGTCATGTCTGCAGTGGCAGTTATTACTTGATGCCACCTTTGAAAACGAGTATATCATTCATAGGTTCTACTAAGATGCAAGTAATAATATCTGGAGGCAGCAAGGACTGAACTACTTTTCCTATATATATATACATATACCCCCTATTGCGCGAATTTATCTTCAAAGAAACAACAAAGTAATAAAAAAAAAATTATCTCTGACATTTTTTTTTTATTTTATGAACCAAAAAAAAGGGGGAAATTTAATTTAAATTTATCAGTGTTTGAAATATAAGTTTAAATTAAAGAAAACATCTTTCATCCTCGCTCACTGTCGTTAATTAAATTAATCCCGCAGTAGACAAAGATAAACTGCAATGAACGTTTTATACATACTTAATTTCATCATTAATTTATCATCTATTTTTTTAAATTTTATTATTATTTTTTAATTAAATAAACTGCCCATAATTTCTGTATTTTAAATAAATACCAAATGAACTCAATATAAATATTTAAAATTAAATATTTATTTGATAATAGTCAAATAACTGCGCACTGAAAAAAGATTTTGGTATTGACAACCAAACGTTTGGTTGGTATTTAAGCAATTTTTTATTGAATCAACAAAATTTTTAGTTGTCCCAATCAAACTTTAGTTAAAACAAAAATCCTTTTTTTTCTAATTTTGGTTGTGTCAAACAAATTTTGATTGAGACAATTAAAATTTTGTTGATTCAATAAAAAATTGCTTAAATACCAACCAAACGTTTGGTTGTCAATACCAAAACCTTTTTTCAGTGAGAAAAGGGTTGGGATTACCATTTTTAGTTAGTAAACTATACTGCTGCTAATTTATTAGTTGCTAATTTTATATTTTTAGGCATAACTATTTTATTAGTTGGTTTAACTAATTAGTTTGTTGGAATAACTATTTAATTAGTTACCTAACTAAAGAACCTTAAATTTAGAATATCTATGGAATAACGGAATATTTTCTAATATGGTAACAGAGTGAATAAAGACCGCGTTTCATCGAAATGATCGTCTCAAATCCATTTCCCCTGAGGAAATTTAAACCCGTTGACATCGTGGGCTGCAAATCGAGTCGCACTTGCAGTGAGAATTTCCGTCTCGCGGACTAAGTAGGTAAAAGCAAGTAGTAGTAGTAGTAGTAGTAGGTATAGGTGGGAATGGACAAAGATGAAATGGAGCAAGACATGCATTGGCGCGTGTCGGGAGTGCCTCCTTTGCTTGTTGCTGCAAAAGCCAGATTACGTAGGCAGTATGCAAAACACGAATATCAAATTGATACGTCCTGCTGTCTTCTTACAATAACAAATCTAAATCCCTAACGCAAAAAAATATACCAAATTTTTCCCCGTTTGTAAACCTAAACGATTTCCTCGAACATTTTTTCGAATAAGTTTATATACTAATTTTCCCTTTTAAAAAAAGAATCTTGTAAAAAGATAAAGAAAATAAACTAAATTACTTTTAGTATTGAGTATAAATTTTTTTTCTGATTTTATATCCATTCACGCTATATGCAATGTTAAAATGCCATCAGGCATAACCATATAAGAGATTTACGCCCAAGTAACAACAAAAAACTTTGTATTGGTGAATAACTACTTATGAAGTGAAAATAAACTTACCACCACTTGGAATGAGAAAATGCACACGCATATATAGATATATTTATATATATTGCGACTGATAGTAGAGTTTCTAAACCCACAGGTCATCCGCCTATAATGGCTGGTTCTAGTCCGCGCCTTGGGCAAGGTGTTTCCAGGATGCAATCATATCACGAAACTGGAACACATAATGATTATTTATTAGCTTCAAAATAAATAAGTATATACATTCATTATTGACATATTATTAAATTTTCTTTTTTTTTTCTCCTATCAGGACTATCTCTCTCTCTCATTTCAACCGTAAAAATTCTATATTCTTTCCTGTCTGACTAAAAACAACCTTAACCACTAAATTTTATTGAAGAAAAATTGTTTTCTACATGTTCGAATTAAAAATATTTAATTACAACATTCCTGCATTTCTGTGTAAAGGAATAAGAAATTAACCAAGAAAAAAATGTGTAAAGATCAAAAGTCTGG